CTGGCCCTCGGAGTCCACCTTTTTCCCCACCCCTGACACTGTCTTTTACTGCAAGGGCCCTCATGTGCATGTGTGTGGACCTCTCTGTCTCTACATCCCAATTCTGTCCACAGCCTCCTGCAAACAGCCACCCCTTGGCCAGTCATTGGGTCTAGGGATGTGCATGTGAGTAGTGTGGTTTACCCTTGGGTGGGCAAACCCAGGAAGAGGACCACGTGTGCCCTAGAAGTAGGCTTGAGGTCCCTTGGGCAGGGAATTCCTAGGTATCGGGAATGTGAGGACTGGGCATATGGGCAGAGGAGGCCTGGACTCCTCCCTCCATGGCACTTAGCTGGAAGAGGACTGGAGTGGAGCCTTCCAAAGCACAGTGCCCAGGGCAGGGGCCACCAAAACAGCGATGTTTCTGTTACATCAGCCTGCAAGCTCCACAGAGGCAGGGCTGGCGTCAGTCTGATTTACTGAGGTCTGCCTAATGCTTAGCACAGTGCCTGGGGTAGGGTAGGTGTTTAACAAATATTTGCCAAATGAATGTAAGAGGTAGACCAGGAAGAGGTTTAAGGATTTGGGTCCATTACTGAAGATCTAGATACCAAAAGTCAGAACTAGGAATGAGAACAGATCTTACAGGGCTCCAGAAATGGATGCGGGACAGAGAACATAGTGACGGCATCCTGGATTACTGACTCTGTCTCTTCTCCTTTCCTTCCTCGTTGTTTTCCACCCCACTTCTCCAAACCCTTTGCCTACTTGGCCCTCTTTCCCCATGGTCCAGCATCCGTCAGTCCATACCTTTTTACCTTTTGGTCTTTTGGTTTCTTTGTGACCTGACCATCTATCTGTCTGTTTCTCTGCATTTGTTTTAGTTCTTGGTCCTCAATATTACTTCCCTTTGCTTCTTTCTTCTACCATTTTTGCTCTTCTAGTCCTTTACTCCCATCACCTCTCTTTCTATTCTTACTGCCTTCTTGGTTTCCTCCCAGAAGCTTTCCTTTCTTTTAGTTTCCTATGGCCCTTTGCCCATCTTTTCCATGTGCCTACATCCCTCTGTCTCCTTCAGTCCAGATCCCTGGGGAGCCCCTGAATTGTTCTTCCCTCTGTCCCAGGTCTGCACCCATTGCCTCCTTAGCTAAGTCTTCCTGCCTCCCTTCCTCTGTTCTGTCATTCCTAGAGTCCACCTGGCTTCATCTTTACATGCCCAATTTTTTGTCCCCAGATGTCCTTGGGCCAATCAGTGTCAGCATGCACCCCCTCCCCACAGAGGACCCATTAACCACCTTCTGGGCTTCAGCCTCTCCTTTCCATGTCCTTGGTCCTTTCCCCTGGACCAGCCCTTAGTCCCCAGACTCCTTTCCCTGGTCAGTAGTGCTTGGTCTGAGCCCCTAGCGGTTCAACCTGCCTGAGCTTGTTTAGTCTGATTCCTTTAGCCTGTTAGCAGCTTAGCCCTCGCACCTCTCCTTAGAGTCTCCAGTAAACAAGAGGATCAGTGCAGACCTGACAGCTGCTGGGGGGAGGGAGGGCAAGTGTCTGATTAGGCCAGACCAGGCATAAAAAACACTTCCTATTCCTTCTTCAACCAGGGAAATTATGGGGTCTCTTTCTTGGCTATCTGCCTTAGAGCCACATCCCATGGGCATGTGTGAGGGGTTCCCTGTCTCTATGATCCCCATTCCCATTTTGTGGCTTCGTTTCCAGGCCGTGGGCTTTTTGGTTCTTCTATAAAACAGCACTAGATCCAGGCAATCACACTGAGAAGCCTTTCTTCTTGAATAATGGTAATGATCTCTGCTCCACAAAGTGAAGGCCAGGTGTGGGAAGAGAAAGATGTCATCTGATCTAGGTCTTCTTATATATATGTAGAGAACACACACAAACACTCAACGCACCAAGGGAACCTGAGTTCAGTGTAGGCATTCTGTAGACCAGTGGTTCTCAAACTTTAGTGTTCATCAAAATTGCTTATTAAAATAGTTTTGTTTTGCCCCATCCCTAGAGTTTCTGATTTAGTAGATTTGAAGTGAGGCCAGAGAATTTGCATTTCTAACAAGTTTCCAGATGATGCTGATCTGGGGACCACACTTGAGAACCAGTCTTAAATTATATGAATCTCCCACCTTTTCACCCAACACCTAAGGCTGGGACTAGGTTAATTTTTATAAATGATGATCATTGGGGCTGCTAGACACCCGCAGCTTTCTTTGGGTTGGGAAATAGGATCTGTTAACCCCTTGGGAGGGTTGGGTGTCCTCAGAAGGTAGGAAATAACCTTTAATTCTATTCTATTTCAGTACAGACCCTATTTAAAAAGCTTCAGACAGGTTTAAACATCTTGGCTAATTCCTAGTATCCCTGTTCCAACTTCTACTTGGGGATGATAGTTCTAAGAGGTGTTAGGGGATTAGGCTGAAGATATAGGTCACCCATCAGCCATCTGGGAACCAGGATAAGTGAGAGGATGAGAGAGGGACAGAGATACACACAGGGAAAAGATGAGAGGAAGCAGAGGGCAAATGAGGGCAGTTACAAAAGTCTCAGATAGATTGGTGGTGATTAGATTTCAGTGTCCCACGGTGGCCTGGAAGGAAGCAGCAGACTTTCCCATTTTCCCTTCTCCTGTTTCTTCTCCTAAGCTAGACTGCCTGTCCTGGGGCTGGGTCAGCAAGAGTAGGAGAAACTGAGGATTGGATGGTCGAGTCCTGGAGATTCACTGTGGAGAAGATGGCTTCTCTTTCTGATGTTATAGCTACGAGAGTCATGATGCTACATACGATGGGAATGAGGCAGGGGGCAGACATGTGAGGATTCCTGAAAATAGGAGACAATCCAAGAGTCCGGGTGAGAGTGGCTTTGGGAGAGCTTGGGCTCCCCCAAAACAATGACAAGGGGCTACAGAGTCTTGGAGGGTGAGGGCACTGGGAGCTTGTTTGGCTCTCTTTTCCAATCCCAGATTTTCAGTCGCCGCGGGCTGAGGATTGTGTTCACAGAAGGGTGGTGTTCTTCACCAGGGAGCTGAGCACATGTGAGTCAGACCATCCGTGAGGAGCTTTGTTGCGGAAGATGCCCGCTTTCCTTCCTTGAAAGCAAGCGTACTTGTCCTTTCCTCTTGTTCCCTCCAACACTCCAGGCCTATGAGATAGGCATATGATCCCCTTTACCTCATTGGCTGAAGGCCTAAGGAGCACAAATGACCTCAGAGAGCTATCCCTTTAAGAGAGCCTTGTGGGCTCTGTGCCCACAGCCCCTTGTTCTGAGCAGGGAGACACCAGGCCTTGCTCAATGGGGCCTCTGGTCTCTGGGGAAGCTGTGCTTGCCTGGCTCTGACACTGACCACATCACCTCTGCCATCCCTTAAGTAAGTATATGCCCTGGGCCTTCCTGGGTGCTGGGCCTCTAACCTAGAGCCTAGAGCCCCTTCCTCCAATACCTGCTGTCTGTTCTCTGTTATCTATTTTCAGGAATCCTCACACTTCTGTCCCCTGCCCCACTCCCACACTGACTAGCTTCATGTCCCTCACTGCTAACACATCAGAAACACAAGCCTCCTCACTTATCTCTTCATCTAATTCTCTCTGGACACTTCTCTCAGTGTCTCACCACCTTCTTCCTGCCAAGTATCAGTTCCTTCAATCTATGTCTGTGTTCCTATCTTCTCTGTCCTCTCAAGGTGAGGAGCTCAATAGATAGGCAACAACCATTCCCTGGTAGAGGAGGAAAGAGAGGCCTTGTCCTTCCCTCCTGCCTCTTTGGGCAGAGCCTGGGGTCTGAGATGTGGTAGAAAAGAGGGGTACCTAGGTTTGGGGCATCAAGATGGAGCCAAACTCTAAGCCTTGGGCATGAGCACTCCCTACTTTGCCCCTTCTGGGGCTGTGGGTGCTGGAACTGGGACCTGAGCTAGGGCTTGGGATTTCCAGGCTGGGAAGACTCTCCGAGGTCATCTAGCCAGAGGTTCCTCAGGTAAGCACGTGCTCCATGGTTGATAACAGGGAGGAGAGTTCTTTGGTGACATAAGTTTGGTACACTCTGTGTTGAAGTTGAACAGATGGTTTACAGAAGGACTTCTCAGATTAATTAGCTGCTGTGCTTTGTGAACGTGCAAGAGGTGGGGATGGGAGGCAGCATTTCTCAAAGTTATCTGAGCACAGACCTTTTCTTGGGTATTTTCAAACTTAGTGTTTCACAGATAACTCTTTGGGAAATCTTAAAGTCTAACTGCCTTCACTGAACAGAAGGGAAAACTAGGGCCGGAAAGGAGAAAGTGATATGCTCAAGTTCACACAACTTAGGGGGTTCTGAATAGACAAAGGGAAGCCAATCTTGGTTGGTTTCCCTGGGAGAGACTGGCTTTGGGGAAAGATGGTTGCCACTCAGCCCTGATCTTTCTAAAACTGATTCTAAGATCTTTCTTTTTTACTTGCAAAATCTCTCACTCCTATAAAAGGGGTTCATTGATTGATCAATCCAGATGCACAGTAAGAACCTTCTATATGCAAGGCATTGGCTTGGGTGCTCTGAGAAACAGAGAGATATAATAATAGCATGTTATCCTTATACATACATTAAAATTCACAGCATACATGCTTCCCATTGTCCTAAAATATACACACACTCTCACAGTTAATTAAGCAAAATTTTTTAATTGCTTGGAAATGGAATGATGCCTCTTGAGATGACAGCGTCACAGCATGTTCCAGCAGTAGAGTTGGAGCACTGCCATATTCCTCTTGTTTTTCATAGACCTCAGAGGCACCAGTGGGGCCAGAGGCTGTGCTCTCCTCTTCCTCATTCAGGCCTTTAAGCCACTTGCCCCTGGTCAGGGCCCCCTACCACCTGAAAAGTTGGCTACCAGCCAGGAGGTGACTATGCAGGGAACAGGGCTGTGTCATCACCCTGGATTTCCAGAATTCAAGCTCCAGGATATCTGGGCTTTGGGGGAGCAGGTTTTGGTGAAGGAGGCTAGCAGGTGGCTCCAAGTGCTCCAAATTTCTCCTCTTTTTTTTTTGCAGGTGTGCCCCTCCCAATCCAGCCACAGAATGGCAATGCCTCCCAGCCCCCTGGCCATGGAATATGTCAATGACTTTGACTTGATGAAGTTTGAGGTAAAACGGGAACCTTCTGAGGGGCGACCTGGCACCCTCACAGCCTCACTGGGCTCCACACCTTACAGCTCAGTGCCTCCTTCACCCACCTTCAGTGAGCCAGGCATGGTGGGGGCCACTGAGGGCCCCCGGCCAGGCCTGGAAGAGCTGTACTGGCTGGCCACCACGCAGCAGCAGCTGGGGGCTGGGGAAGCACTGGGGCTGAGTCCTGAGGAGGCAGTGGAGCTGCTGCAGGGTCAGAGCCCAGTCCCTGTTGAGGGGCCTAACAGCTACTATGCAGGGAGCTCAGAGGAGACAGGAGCCCAGCATGTCCAGGTGAGTGATCAGTGAGCTGGTCTGAGGGGAAGCAGGGTGAGAGAAGGAGTTTCTGGACTAGGGAAGAAGGGCCCTTGAAAGAAATCAGATA